AGCTTGTGCATGGGTGCATCGTGGGCTATATTCGCGCGGCCGAAAGTGCGAAGGGGAACATACGTTGTATTTCGCGTTTCGCTTCGCTAATTTCTCTCGTGCGTTCGCACGCCGAAATAAAAGCTTTAATTTCGTGGCAACCATCCGCCGCGCCTAATTGGCATAGACGACGATACTATTCGTTCGTTCGCTCGCACGAACGACCGCTTGCCGATGCGATCGAAGGAAGAAAGCAGGAATACGCGCACCATATTAATTCCTAATTGTGTAATTATTCCTCTAATTACAGCCTCGTGCGTATGGCAAATTATCCCACCGTCGAACGTCTCGAGTCAAAAGCGAGACTCAAGGACGCCGTAATTTTCGAGAGTCAAATTTACGCTTATTAAAATGACGATTGATTGTGGACTCATTCCATATATTCTTTCCGTGGATTTTCGATAAATAACGAGGATAATAAATAGATTTAGAAGGAAATAAGCTTCGTTTTTTTAACGAAAACTCTAAAAATAATTTTGATAATAATTAATAATCTATTAATACGGCACATATTATCATTGATACATTAAAAAAACGTTAGTACAAATTTCCCGTTTGACAGCGTAAATATCATTGATACATTAAAAAAACGTTAGTACAAATTTCCCGTTTGACAGCGTAAATATGAAATAAGACTGCGTGGAGATAATTGATATAATTGACGCTAATTGATTAATTTGATATCGTTAAAGGGAGAATTGCTAGTTGCGGTTTACCTGTTGATTCCCCTATAAATGCATTGTACCATTCGTTCGCTGTTACATTGATAAATTAATTTCAACAATGGATCGCTATAATATGATACATATTTTCTAATCATTATTTTAAGTATGAAAATATTATTAAAATTCGTGAAAATTGAGAGATGAAGAAAAATAAGAAAAAAATTAATTTATATCATAAAAGAAATTTATATAGTTTTATATTAATTATATATATATATATATAAAATAACGATTGCGTATCAATTGTATTTAAATGTCTCCCCAAAGCGAAAAATACTAATCGGAAGTGCGGCGTGGTTGACAATGACCTTGAAAGAACTTGTTTCACGACTCGCACCTGCGACTGCCAAGTTCAAGCCACGATTTGTCCATTGATCTCATTGCCTCAAGAGTTAATTAAGCACACAGATGTACCGGATAATTTAAAATAATACGAGGCGCTGTACATACGATATGATCACCGTTCACCGATGTAGCTGTCATATTCAAAATGATCGATATATAATCAAGTAGTCGCTTGGCAGAAGCGATATTAACAATGTTTCATAAAATAAATTCTGTTAAAATAATTGTAGATTTATTTATGAAAAAAATCTTATTAATCATATAGTAACCATGTGAAATTATGACAAGACAATCAGCCATGGAAATAAAAAATAAAGATACTTATATCAATTAGCTATTAGAGCTATTATAGATGATTAATATAAAATAATCTTAATTATAAAAGTATATTTAAAATATTTAATTAATTTTATTCATATCAAAAGTAAATATTTTAAATATATATATGATTCTTATCAGAGATTACAAGTAATCTAATAAAATAATTACTTTTTTTTTAAATGCATAGACAAAATATTTGAGTATTATTTTCACTCAATTTGCATTTATTCTCATTTATTTCTTTTTAAAATTTATATTTTTTAGATCTATTTTTTGATTAAATTTTATTAAATTATGTTTTCAAAAACTAAACAATAGCTTCTGAAATAAACACATATTTTTTATTATTTAAACATTATTTTTGTCAGATAATACATTAAATATATGTGAAATAATATAGGAAATAAAATCGTGTCAATGTAAAATGTTTCAAATAAATAAAAGAAAATTTTAATATGTAAAACCGGTTCTCAAATCTAATAAGAAGTAAAAGAAGGTTAAGGAACGAAACGTAGGTAATGATACGTGTCAGTAATAATATATTATAATAGAAACTTTGTAAAGGGTATTGTTGTATACAATAAGAAGTGTAAAAATATATGTTTAAGATATGCTATCGACGATATGTTTCGACCCTGCTCTGGGTCCTTTTCAAAGGTAAAATAAGAAAAAACATAATATTATTGAAACCAACTAACTGAATAATAAAAGAAAGAAGTCAATGTAATAAAATAAAAAGAAACTGGAAAGAAACGATAGGGTCGCAAACACAATTGTATCGTAAACAAATCGTTATCTACGATGTAATTGTGTATGCGATCCTATCGTTTCTTTTCAATTTCTTTTTATTCTATTGCATTGACTTCTTTCTTTTATTATTCAGTTAGTTGATTTAAATAATATTATGTACAATTGTATTTTTCTTATTTGATTTTGAAAAGGACCCAAAGCAGTCGAAATGTCGTCAACAGCACATTTTAAAAATATATTTTTACGCTTCTTATTGTATATAAGTGGAACAACTTTACAAAGTTTCTATTACATAATATATTATTACTATCACGCACCATTATCTGCGTCTTTAGCCTTCCTTAGCCTTCTTTTGCTTCTTATTAAAAAGTTTCAAATAATAATAAAAATAAGAATTTTTCTAATCATTCTTTCAAAATAATTATCCCAATCAATAATTTTAATATTACATTTCAAATAAATATTTCCTATATATTTGTATCAATCATTACTACCAAGAAAATAAATCAGGCAAATCAGATAATACTTTATTTCTTTAAAGAGATATTTTAAGTAAATAATTTTAATAGTCTATATTTTTGAAATAAATATGCCCGCTACTGTAGATGGATTAATTAGACTGGAATTATCGAACACGCGAACGATTAATTGCGAATTCTAAAGAGGGCAATTTTGCGCGCACCGTTCTCATTCGTTCGATTTAGCGCACAAAAGAATAAGAGAAAAAGAGATGTACTGTGATCGCTCTCGGATAAAAGGCGCGCTCGCGTACACCTGAGAGTAGCAGGTGCAGCGCAAGGTCTTGGTCCTCGGACAGAGTCCTGGCTCTTCTCTCGCGTGACAGCAATACGATCGGTCGATACACAGCCAATATATATGATCGAAAAATTAAATAAATGAAAGCTTAAACACTTTGAGAAAAATTCCGTTACCACAAATTATTGAAAATGCTACTCCTTACAAGATACGCAAAAAAACTCTATATAACTGTACAAGAGAGAGAGGACATTCCATCTTTTAAAAAATCACAAATCACTTCTAGAAAAGAATTTTTTAGATCCGAGAGAAAAAGAATTCACGAACGTTTTTGATAAATTTTTTTTAAACAAAAAATATGACGCCTTCACATATGAGAATGTCTAAATTATCTATGCTTTTATTTTATATACAATTGATTATGTGTAATATTGTGTATAATAATGAAAGCATGTTTTAATGTTGCAATGTTCAATTTTAACTAATATACATATGCCACGAAGTAAAAACATGCTACGATTTAATTTATTTCTTGCCCTTATATTCGCCTTGATTGCATTTATCATATTCTGTACTTTTGTATCTTTTTCTTGCTATATTTTTTAGATGATATTGATCCATGCTATTTCATCTTTATCCATAATAGCGACCTTGATGGAAACTTGCGACCTACGATGCGACGATATGCGGGCACTGCAATTATCGTCGGCGTGCGAGTATCCATCTTTCATTGAGGTTGCATGTTCTCTTTGTTCCCCTTCTTGTTGTTATTGTTGACAGGAAACCGACTACGCGTGCGTAAATCGAGTTACATTTGAATTCATTCACTTTTATTTTGCAAAACAACGTCATTAAAAAATGAATTCCTGCTTGAATGTCATAATAATACACTAATCTATTATATATTGACATTAAAATTTATTAAAATCATGTCAAATTATCGCATAGATCATATAAAAATAGGCATGTACGTTCGAATATGACTTCACGCTTTTTGTTTCGACTAGTATAAGCGTAATTTTTTTGATTAACAAAAACTTATTATTTATAATGGTCAATATCTCTGGAAAAGTTAATTGTATTATATATTTTATCATTTTTTTTAAAAAAGCTAATATAACAAAATTATTCGATATAAATCCGATTATTCCTATTATTTATCTTATAATTAATTTAAAAAAAATTAAATGTACATAGTTGATTGTATCAGATATCGCATGCTTTTTGACCGCAACTTTCGGAGGTTTCTTTTAACAGAAATTATTAGAAAGCAACAAATTCTTAATCGACTTACAGAAAAGGAATTCGTTAATTAAGTCAAAAAATGCACTGCACATGGGATTTTCAGATTCGCGCGATCAGATAGAAGAGTCACGAGGCACGAAAAATTCCTCGTGCTTGGCTTGATCCCAATCACGCAGATGATGACGCGGCTCCACCGACAGCTGCATACTCGCGTCATTAGCTCGCACTTTCAGCTTTCGGATCTTGTTACATTGATCGGCCATTATCATACAGAATCCTCCTACGTTTTTTTACCACATTTATTCGATCGGCAATCGTTTGCATATTCCTCGATAAGTACGAGAAATGAAAATTAAATTATAAATTAAGATGCTCCAGATTTATAAGTGTGTTACGACTATTTTGTTTATTAATTTAGTAAAGCAATTTGTTTAATAATTTAGTAAGCAATTTCACAGATTTTTTGAGACGTTAAAGATTCTCTTTGGAATATAAGAAATATAAAGATTACAAAATTAAAAAAATTGAATAAAGTAGTAGCAAAGAGATATATAAAAGTATTGTAGTCCTTACACTTTTCATATTTTAAAATGATCTGAATAAAATTGATGTTTAAGTCAAAAATAAGGACTTTACGCTATTTCAGTTCAAAAATTAGTTATTCAAATATTTAAAAAAGGAGGTATTAGAAATATTGTGTTCAATTGAATCTGTGAGAAACAATCGATTAAGAAAAACCAATTGGAACACTCGTCAGTTAAAGAAAACACGGGAAATAGGAAAGGTCCTGTGTGAAATTCATGAGATGAGCGATATTCGTGAAGATTGAATTTTTGTCTGTGTTTATTGCTAATATAAATACTATTCTTTTACAAATTGAATTGGCCTAATGACGTCTCGTAACATACATAAAAAATATCGGCTAGCCGAGTCTAATGACGGAATAATGCTATCCTTAATGACAATGTACAATGACGCCGAGAGAGCGATCGACTCGGAAGAGATAGACCATGTTGAATGGCACTCTTCCTCTTTTTCGTCGACGAAGTTGCCGAGAATTTGATCTGTCGATGATCTTTTTCGCCGTCGAAATTCGGCGTCGCCATGCACGCAACGACGCGTCATGTCGATTACCTATAATTGTAGTATACTTAACAATAAAATCAAAATTTCTACACATGTACCACACAGGTGGAATCGAATCGATATAACGGAACTCGTCCTCTTCAATCCCGACGAATGATTAAGCATTTGACAAGAATTTAAATCCAAGAAAGCAAAGTTCAAAAAGGAAAAAGGCAAGCATCGAATTAAGTACGAAGTTATGTCGATGTTGTCTTTTTATTCCCGACTGCTGCCAACCGTAGGTTGGCAAAAGACGGAGGGAGTATTCACGTTTTTAATATTCAATGAGATACATAATATCTCGTGAACCCTGCGCTATAAATGAACAAAATAAATACAACAATTGCAGTGCGATCATAATTATAACGAATCCTAGATATTGTCAAGACTGCTTCCTTTCACGGTTTAATTACAATTTACAATGAGAAGAGTGAGAGAAAGAGAAAGGGAGAAAGAAATGAGCGGAAATCTAACTTTTAACGGTATTGCACGCTTAAGTCGCGCGTACGGAAACATCACTGACCGACAGGATAAATTATCACGATACACAATAAATACGCAATGTTGTAATCGATTCTGAAAGTGTTTCAAAAGTGCTGAGACATAGCGATATAGCACGCATAAACTCGAGCGATTCAGAGAGAAGAAAGAAACGCCTATTAATTCACATTCGAAAGGAATAATTAATTCGTCAAAATGACACGGGGAATTGAAGGTTGTCGCATTCAAAAACAACTTAAAACCGAATCATTCGCGAAACTACGACGACCCTGCGCGCGGCTGTTGCTGTGTATAGAATCCAAACGGTCGTGATTCCGCCAAGGACGACGACGATAATAGCGTCGAATTCGCGGCCGCGATGGCGACTGAGGACGATGATGACGATGACGACGACGGACCAGTCGTCGAGACACGGGAACGCTGATGCGACGACGATGCTTTCTGCTGTCCGATCGTCTGATGGGATCTGATGGGTACTGGTAGCGGTCGCTGGATCTTCTTGCCGTGATGTTGACCGGAAGTGCGGTAGCCCTGATGCCCAGGCCCGGTCGGCCGTAGGCGAGGTCTGCCGGGACCTCGACGAATCCCTGCGATGCTGCCGCGTCCGGACAGTGGTATCAGAGTTCCCACTGGACCCAGTGGACCCACTGTGCTGGGACCGTCTCCATCGGTAGGATCGGCGGTCGCATGGACAGTCCCTAGGACATAAAAAAATACACCCCTTCGTTCTAGGAGTTTCTGTTGAAAATATGGCCGCCGTAGATGCGGTGATGATCGCTTCGCTTTGTGGATCCAAATCCAATCGATGACTAATGTTTAATGTTTCGAAGTATAGATACAGAAAATAGCTTGCAATTCGTTCCAAAGGAGATCTTTCAAGAACAGTCGGAATCCAATTCATCGATTTGCAAGTTATATATCGCAAGTTATTTATACGCGGCGCGCAACTCACGATTTATCGTGAAACAATGAAAATAAGTATTATCATAATATTATCATAAATTCTTCGGTACGAAAATACTGCATAATAAACCTTAAGAACTCCATTCTTTTTCTTAAGACTAGTCGATCAAAGATCTCGAAAAGAAGCATTTCAAGAAGAATTTTTCTATGCGAAGATGCGTAGATGTGCGTGAAAATCAGTGTTCCTCCTCTCCAGATGTAGATATCTCGCCTTTATCCCGATGCCTAGTCGGCATTCCGTGGCACGTACCCGATCGTTCAAGGAGCATTCCTCTTCAGACGATCTAAGAGGACACTTAAAGGAATGGGCGATAGAATAGAAAATGCGTCTGTCGTTCGCAAAATCCCGCCGACTCTTACACTCTTAAATGATAATTCGCTCTGAAACTTCCACGCGCGTGAATCGTATCGCGGATCAGAAGAGAACATTTAAATGCTCCACACGAGACAATTTCCATCGCGTAAATAAAATATCAAGATGCAATGTATATCTATAAAAAAAGAATTAGTTGAAGCAGTATTCTTAAAATTATCGAGCTACGAAAAGTCGCCTTTCTTTGGCAGAAACCTGACTAGCAAATATCAAAGTTGCGTGGACAATTGTAATAAAGACGAGGATCCAACTGGTATTAATGTAAACGAATAAAATTAACTGTTACGATATTGTACGCGATGAAACCCCTATCATATACTTAATTTAACCGTCCAAGTAATTCAATGGAAATTTCCAGGAATTAATTTACGATTCGTATTATGAATCTAAATGAAATTTGTAAATTATACGTAAATTATACCTTTTAATGAAAAAATAACCGACGCAATAAGAGACTCATAGGGAAAAAGACGGAGCCTACAATGTGAGAGCAAAGATAAAACTTTCGAGACAGTTGGAATGAGGAGGATCCACGGAATGTCGACGATCCACCTTACTATATCCTTGTCTGCTATATCCTTGTCGTCCTATCCTGCCGCATTATCCTATCTCACCCGTGTGTTGCGAGCCGAACTATCATCTATACTGCCATATATTTTGTCTCCTATCCGATCCTGTTCGGTCTAGTTTGAAACACTTAGATTCCCAGAAAACTTGAGATTTAAAATAGAGATAATTGTGTTACTTAACAGGATCCCATGAAACCATTTTCCACCTATTAAATTTAATTAGGTAAATCTTAATTATGTGCATTTCGACTTATAGTATCTAGGATGTAATACGTCACATTGCATTAAGAAACAAAATTATCCGGCTAGAAATTGATTCTTTATTTAACATTTAAGAAGACGAATACAGCTGCGAAATTATATGCAAAATTATCTATTTTATTTTTTATTATTTTTTTTCTTAACGCAGATTTAATATATCTGGATAATTTTAAAATTTTTCTTTTTCATATTTGACTACGTATTTTTATTAATGCTTTTGGAGCTTGAGTAAACTTTCTAAATATTTATTATGAATAAATAATGAACAATCTGTTATTGAATAAAATCAGTTTTCTTGGAAATACTGGTCATTCGTAATATTTAATAAAATTACAATCTCTTTAAATTGAATAGTCAAATCATTATTTATTCCCGAACAGATTAAAAGAAAAATGATAGTAATCATACCAGTAATTTTCAAGAAAAATATCGAAAAACTTGATTTTACAAAAGGAAAATTCAAAATGTAACGATTTTTCAAGTTACATTCTCATATATCAATGCAAATAATTTCGATTGCGAATTAATTGTCAATAGAGAAAATACGGCATATATATCATATCATTCAACTTTTTTTTGTGACGACAATATGAAAATATGATATTCGAGAAGATGCGCAGAGTCGACGGGGACGAGATGACACAGTAAGGTACGGTAAGGTACGGCACGAATCGACAACAGTCAACCCCTTATACAAGGTCCGCGTAATTCCCCTCTATCCTGTGCAAACCCCATCCTTCTTTTTTTTTATTCGACCTCGTGAAACGACGAGGGAAATTAGATGTCGGGATTATGCAACTGAAACGTATTACGATCGAGTCTAGGACTCTTAAGTAGATATTGCTGAATCGAACGATAAATTTATTTAGGAAAGTAGTAACTATTTTAGCAGATATTACTCGACAATTTCGATGTAAATATATTGATATAACTTCAATATTAATAAAAAGAAAAATATTTGAAAATATATGGAAAAAAATGTTTGGAAAAATATTAAACTACTAGTTCAGAAATTGCGTCTAGTAAAACCTCGTGGATAATCAAAGGTGAAGTTAATAAAATCTCGACATATGATTTCTTTCTTGAAAGAGAGCGGTTAAATCTCAATCTATATTAAATTGACTACGTTTCATTCTGTTAAATTCGATTCGTGTCTTTATTAATCCATCATAATCATCCCATCGATCAAAATAAGCGGAATATAACTAATCAGCAGGAATAATGCTGAATATGTGCTCCGATGAGAGTTGGGAACATTGACAGCTGGATGAAGAAGCGTGCGTCGCATCCCGATAAAGAGATAACTAATGGAGAAGAGAGACAAAGCAGAGAAGATGTACAAAAAAGATGGTGACGAAGAAGAGAAGGAAGGGAAAGAAAAAGAGAGATTATAAAACAAAAAAAAAAAGAAGAAAAAAAAGAGAAAGAGGTAGACGCGAGTTCCAAAAACCTAAGAAGAGCATCGATCGCAGCTGTCGCCTTCGCTCCGCACCTGCTATTGTCCGCCTCGTCTTCCAGTCGACGACAAGTGAGAGAGCGAGACCGACCCCTTTTTCCTTCACGTGCGTACACGCAGCACGAGGATGGAATGTGTTAAGCGTACTCACGCGCGCTGTTGCCCGCTCCATGTTCACGGTTCACGTGGCATTGCGTGAGGTCGCCTTATCGGACACACACGCGTCGTACCTCTTTCTTTTTCTCTAATTAATGCGATAACGATAAACTCATCGACGTTTACTTTATACAGGATCGGGAGTCTCGCAACGTGAAAATTATTTTTGTTCAACAATTATTTAAAATTAAGTGTAATATTTTTCATATCGTTCATGAAAGAAACACCTTTTTCCTATTCAGAATCATTCGACTTATCGATGACTCTCTGCACATCCCCCTGGAACACATTTGTGCCGAGACACAATACACTTGTGCTACGGCGACAAATGTTTCCAGCCTGGCCCCATACGAATTCGTCGTTCGCGAAACGAGTCCTATAGAAATGAGTCACGAGAGATTTCAGGGAGTGGGATGTCTCTAAGGGTGCCTCGTGGAGGAGCGCCAACTGTTACCCCCTTGTGGACGCACATGTGCTCGCGAGGGAATTTTCGGCACAAGCTGATGATGGGGTCACGAATGGACCCACGGGCGTTCCTCTCGCGAACCGCAAAGTCCCCTGAGAACCCGGGCAAGTGCCCGGACGAAAGACAGCACCGAGGGTGCGCAAGGGACCCCCGAAAGTGTCAGCGAGGATTAACGGTATATTGATTGGCGGGGCCGCGTCCGCGAGGAAAGTCGTTCTTCTCACGGCATAAGTTTCGAAAATTCGAGGCGAATTTCATGACGTGTTCTATCATTTACGCTTTTATTGAACTTAATCAGACGGAATTATCGCGAATATTACGATGATATTAATTATGAACATTTTTTTATTTTGCGAACATTTTTCAATCTGTATAATCGGCTTTGATTATGAAATTAGATTACGAAAGTAAACTGATAACTACACAACGTATACATTATAATAATAGTTCCGAGAGCGAATCACAGTTATTAAATATTTATACAAGTTATAATACTATCGTACAGATAACTAAATGTAAACGTGAAGAGTAATATCAGTGCAATGCAATATCTGCTTAGTAAGATAAAATTAATGCAACATCGAAAATACACAGAATATTTCGTAAATCTCTTGTCATAATAATTGATTGAATAAAATATATAAAATTACTTCATTCGACTATAAATTATCTCATTTTTAATTATTTAAGCAGTATATATATATATATATATATATATATATATATATAAATCTAATATATATATAATATAATATATATATAAATCTCGTACGTGTGAGATAAAGCGATCATTCGATTACTGAAAAATCGATAATTACGCGTTAAAATTAATCTTTCACGCTATATTTCGGCAAATGCCATTTTCTATTATACAAACAAAGCGCGATTACTCAAAGTACTCACCGTGCTGCAATGTCTGCTCGTTCGAAGATCCACCCCCATCGGTCGGCGATATAGTCGACAGCGATTCGGTGGCTACTGCATTAGAGCCTTTCGACGGATGCATTAAAAGCATTCCTCTTCCTTTACCGCCGATCGGACCACCCCTACGTGAACCTCGTGGTCGGCCCCGCTTGCTTGCGCCGCGTACGGATTGTCGCATACGTGCGCTAGCACCTACGCCGAAGGCGAAGTGATGGCCGAGTCGAGCGACCTTTGTCGAAGATTCTCCAAATTGATGGAAATTGCCTCGGGAATGTCCATGAGGGTGATCGCCACCAGAAACTGCTACTGGGCCATCTACATCAACCACGAGTCCTTCATTGCTCGTTTCATCCTATAAAAAAGATTGTATCAAGATAATTATTAAGGATTATCGCAATTGTTATTACTAAATAATGACAAGATAGAACGCAATCAAAATGTATCTGTTCTCAGAATTGATTCTTTTAACAATTTCAATTTTAGAAGAAATTTTTACTAAAAGCTAATAAAAAAGTGTAATAATTTTGTATCGATATGTACTTCTGACTTGGCCGGACTTGTTGGCGTGCTATAATTATCTATATTTTCTAACTGCTGTTGATGGTGATTGTTCTGCAACTGAATCGGATTGACGGCCGGTTTAGGCTCATTAAGATTAACTTGAACGGTATCGTTGTTTTTGTCGCCATTAGCGTCTGCATGACACGGTTTCTTCGCATCGTTCTGAAAAAGAAAGAAGTTGTAAATGTGAAAAATACAATCGTGACAAATGAAAGATTACTGTTCTAATGAAATTAAGTATGCGATCTAATTAATAATAAATCTGATATGCATTGTGAGTTAAATATATCTAGACAATTCATCAAACAATTAGCTCGAGCTCGACGAATTAAATGTTAATATATGATAGTTAAAGATATGTTCTTCAAAAACAATTTCAGTGTAAGCCGATAGTCTCGAGTATCGAGAAACCGAGATATAGGAGCGATAAAAATAGACGGCAAGAAAAATACGGTGCGGTTAAAGAGACGAGAAAGCGATGAAATAAAAAAAAAGAGGTAAAAAAGAATCTTTGCGACGCGATAGTGGTGTGTAAGGGCGCCGGGCTCACCTTGACCGGAAGCGCGGTTAACTTCCTCTTCCGGTCTCTCTCCTTATGCTGTAGGTTCGACTCGAGGCGAACCTCCTCTACTCGTTGCTGCTTTCTCTCCTCGCTTCGTTGGCTATCTGAAATATACACGGACATGTACTATACAAGCCGAGGATGCGGCGGCACAAGTTCGTTACTCCGTTTCTTATTATTATTCCTTATTAGGCCATTAGCATAACCTAATGAGCATAATGTAATCGCGGCCACCTCGCCCCCTTCCCTCTTCTCATTCTCCTCCCTCGTTTTCGACGAGTTTGTGCATACACGCGCATCCTGCCGTGCGATAGAAACGGTGGCTCAAACAAAAACTCGACTATCTAACGATTTATCAACATATTATATCCTTTAATTATACACCATGGCAAGTTTTAATTTTAATGAGATATTTTTTTATTAATTTAGAGAAAAGACATTGTTCTTCAATGTTCAATGCCGATTGCTTGGTGAAAATTTAATTGAAAAACTAGTAACTAATGGAGTTTTCTTGAGATAAAAAATTATATATTATTTTTCGATAAAAATTCTAAAGATAAATAATGACGTGCCATTTTCAATGTGATAGCACATAATTACTAAACAAAAATAATGAATTGCTAATATTTACATTTCGCTTCAATTTCCTCGTCATCCAGTAGCAGTGACACGACTTCCTTTGGTTTTAGAGTATCGGGTTTAAAGTTTCCGCCACTTATGACCATACGTTGTATCTGCAATAAATAGACTCTCATTGTTTATTTAATTCCAGCATCTAGATATAAGGATAATAGTTTCCGAAAATGAACCTCGCTCTTCTCGCGTGCTCTCTGCAAAATTCGTTCCTCGATAGTTCCTTTACATATTAATCGGTAGACCGTGACTTGCTTGGTTTGCCCCAGTCTGTGGGCGCGATCCATAGCTTGTTGATCTACAGTGGGATTCCAATCACTATCATAAAATATTACCTGCAAATATTATTAATAAATGATTTATAAGTAGTTTGAATAATTTTTTACTTGAAAAATATATAATTTCATAAATAAAAAATATAAAAATAAAAATTTATAAAAATTTATAAAAAGTATATATGATTTCCTGAATAAATATTTATTTAACTGTAAAGTTGCAGAATCTATTATAATATTATAACAGAAGAAGTTTATTAATCATGCAATAACAATTGTTAAATCGATGACAAAAGATTGAATGTTATATACAATCTGTGATACATCTTGTGATACTTTTATGACAGGACAAAGAAACATATGATATTCTTTAAATACAGATATGTTCCACGTTTTCTTTTTTTGTTGCATTAATTTGCAGAAATTATTATCATTTACAGAGTATATGTATGTACACATTCTCTCTTTCTCTCTCTCTCTAATAATAAATAATTTTCAATAGTAATTAATTCATTCTAATTTAAGAAGAGTTTTATGTATATATATAATTATATAATTTTCATTTATATATCGCTTAAACATATTTTTTATCATCAAATTACTTAATGAAAATTGAAGAAGACATTGTAAGACCGTGTAATTGATTTCAAAAGATATACGAATTTAAATTTATTTCCATATATAATATATATTTTGTACATATTTCATATATAAAGATAGAATAGAAACCGAAAGTTAGGATGATGCATAAGTGAATACATATTAGGTAGTATAAAACAAAAATATAAGATTACTGACCGTGTCTGCCGCGGTGAGGTTGATTCCCAGGCCGCCAGCTCTAGTGCTGAGTAGAAAGACGAATATGTCCGCTCTGAAAGACAAAACAATCTCACAGATTCTCAACTATGTTTCATGAAAAACAATGATATTATGATCGTTTTGTATGTAAATTAATTTGAGATGCCAGGGCATATTTATGAAGAATTTTCAGAACGAAATCTTCCGCGGTAGCACGCTCATCCGATCATGTTTAATATTTCAAATAATTTAAAAAAACATTCTTTCGTCTTCTTAATCTTAAGGAAAATTAAACTACAACGCATAATTATGGGTAATCATTTGAATGATAAATTATACGAAAATAAAAAGATTCGCTTGCAATATTCGAATAGCGATATAAGAATATAATTATTTAGACTCAAATGAAAGTTGGATACAAAAATTCGGTAGATTGTGTAATGCCCTGTCTAGTAATAGCCCGCCATTAGAACTGCAGGTTCGTGACTGTCGTGCATTCAAAAACCTGCAGCTGTCTGCAAGATGGGGACGATTCGGCAATTAATTCGCGTGTTAGTTATGCGCGGCTGAGCTACGCAGGACATGCGATCTCGGGATCGCGCTTTAAGTATGCAACTGGAGACTGTTTGCGATTGATAGATATTCTAATCAACACGATACAGCCCGGATTATTATGAATAACGTATTTTTTTATTAATGAGCAACTGACGAGATCTCAAATAATCAAAAATTCTCACAATCTGCAATATGTACAATCAAACTACACGTTTTTTATTAAATTGTTAAGCAATATTGTAACATTGCTAAAAAATACATGAAATAATTGCAAATTTATGAAAAAGAAAATCATTACCTCTTTTGAAAATCTGCTACCATGTCCCGTCGATCCGAAATTTTCGAGGAACCATCTAATCTCATAAATGTATGCTTTCTATGATACATGTATTCCTACGAAAAGTAAATTTTCCATTATAAAATGATTATTTGAGTGTAGCAGATAGATAAACATACCTCGAGCAAATCGATCATTTTTGTCATTTGAGAGTATATCAACACCCTATGACCTTGTTCCTTCAAACGCCGTAAAAGACTATCTAATACAGAAAGCTTGCCCGCATCTGTTACTAATGTTTGCTTATCTGAAATAATTTAATTTATTTATAATCATTTATTTTTATTTCTCAATAGAAAATCATATAATTAATAATTAAAATAACATATGCTTTTTTGATAATCCTCATATCTTTTCATTTCACATTTGATTAATTGATATGTATCATATTGAATATACCTGGCACAATGATATGTGACCATCCGTTAAGAGGAGCACATGCGGATAATCCACCTTGCGGTTGATAGCAAAAAGTTGACATTGTTTGACCGGCACGAATGCATAATTTCTTTTCAGAAAGTGCTCGTTCACAGCCGAGCCAAAGTAATCTTTGACCAAATGGACCACCGCATTCTTCGTGCCTCTTCCAGGCACATGCTGCAGAACTATTACTTACATATAATTTTCGTGGACTAGCTTGAACCTGCAATTAAAAGGATTAAATTATAATCCCTTGTTTTCCTTTATCTTTTTATATGCAAGAACGATTATATTAACCTTGGGATTATTATCGCAAACGAAGGCAGGAATCGTTGTTTGCTGGCAATATCGCATTATAGGTTGCCGTGGATGATGGGGATGTTCAGGTAATAGAAACAATTTCGAATCTTCCAATTGTTCCGTTTTGCCAGTGGGAAGTATTCTTTGTAACTGAAGTATTATAAAACACATTGTATCACATATTCTGTAAACTTTGACTATATGTATGTATGTATGTATGTATATATGTATACACACATATATACATATGTGTGTGTAATGTAATGTCAAATATAATTACCTTTGGTAATTGATTGGCTTTCTTACTGCTACGTAGTATTCTGTGAGCAACCGTTTCTGGCATTGAATGTATCGTATGGGTAGAATGTATGTAAAAAGCGTCGCCCTCAATTATTTTTCTTGTAAAAAATATATCTTGCAACGTCGCCGACAAGGAGTCAATTTTTCTAGGCGAATAAAACATTTGATTTGTAGGTATTCTCGATCTATGACCAACACACCAATCTTCCCAGTATTGTATCATTTTCAATCTTCGCTCCATGAGTGTTACAAGATATAATCTGCACGAGAATATTTGTAAAAAAATAGTTATTCTATGTAAATCCTTCTTTTCTTAACATTCGCCATTTATACATACCTAAATAAGGTACCAGTGATAAACATTTTGTTTATTTCCATTGGAGATAAATTAATAAATCTGCTAAATGAAAATGCATTTTCGCACAAATTTTCGTTGCAATGAAGAGCACGGTGAATATATTCTGCAGTAAATATAAACAATTTGTTATACAACAAGTGATCTTTGGATGGCAATGCTAAATGTAAGAGTCCTTCGTTATATAACAAGGCAGGCATATTATAAAATTCTGTGTTCATGAAAAACGGCGATCTAGCATCCCTACGTTCAAAGAGTTCTGGATGATTACAGACCTATAATTAATAAAATTAGATTCAGTTTTAAAAATTATAGATTATTTTTAATATTTAAGCTCTCATAATTGTAAAATAAATGTTATAAAACAATATATATATATATATATATATATATATATATATATATATATATATAGAATCTATATGATAAATAAGATATAATATGCTAGATAAATTGATAAAGATATATATATGTATTGAAAAAATACAGTACCTTTCGGAACTGCATGACTAGATTCATCAGATTGGAAGTAAAATTTTTATCATTCGAAGTAGTGTCTCCTCCCCCTACTGTGTAATGCAGTAAATCTTCTACTCGAATCTTTTTCTTCAATGCTAAATACATAAATATGTAAATAAGATATAAGTGTACCAAATATTTTAAACATGATATAATTAACATAATATTAGAAACATAATATTAGAAAAAATTAAATCAAAATACCTGAGTAAAGCAGTTTTTGACGAGTTGTAAGTGGACAATATACCATTACTTCAATCTTATCAGATAACTCATTCTCTACATCCTTTTTTATTCTTCGTAACATGAACGGTTTCAAAATCATATGAAGTCTTGATAAGTGTTCTAGAATAAAATTGATTATATATATGTGTGTATATATGTGTATATATATATATATATATATATATATATATATATATACACATACACACACACATTTTAGGCAATAATAAATAGTATACATAATCTTAAATTTAATATGTTTTATGCAAAATTACTCACTTTCATCTATTCCTGTTTTATTTTCCGCATGACTTTCAATATCTTTAGAGAACCATTCATTAAATTCATCATGTGAATCAAATAATGTAGGCATAATAAAGTGTAATAATGCCCATAATTCTGCCATACTATTTTGTATAGGAGTACCACTGAGCAATAATCTATTACGACAACTGAATCCTAACAATAACTTCCATCTCATGCTGTTGAAAAAATTATGATTAACTATTAAATGCATTTTTTGTAATAAAAATTTTTTGTAACAATAATGAAAGACTGTAGAATAATATACCTGCTTGTGCTTTTTATAGCTTGCGCTTCATCCAAAATCATATACTGCCATTTTATTCTATTGAAATATTTATAATCTGTAATCACTAATTGATAACTTGTTATTACTACATGGAAAGAAGCTTCTTTCGTATGCAAATCTTTAGTGTCCCAAAACTGTCTCAGTATTTTGCGTTCCTGAGGATTACCCCAATATGGAACTACCTTAAACACTGGTACAAATCTTGCCATTTCTTGTTGCCAATTATGTAATGTTGAAGCAGGTGATATAATTAAAAATGGTCCCCAAACGGCTAAAATTAATCAATATACATTTTCAATTTATTTGTCATAAAAATTTTAAAATACAATGAAATATTAAACTTTAATAGTCAAAATGCTTGTTGTAGATACTTACAATATCTTTCGGCAACGTGACACAAAAACGCTATAGACTGTACAGTTTTTCCTAAACCCATCTCATCAGCTAGTATGCCGCTAATACCCTGATAATCATTGACAAGACGATTTTTGTTAAATACTTATTTTTATATAACAAAAATATTATAATTTTAATAATTTTGCATATATGGTTACAAACCTGGTCGTACAAATTTGCCAACCAATTCATTCCTTTTAATTGATAACCCTTCAAATTTCCCTTGAAAATTGAAGGTTGAGGATGCTCCAAGTTTTCAGGTGTATCACTGAGACGCAATTCTTGAGATGCAGCAGCTGTATCAAACTGTTTGGTCCTTGCTTTTTCATTATTAAATGCCTCAGTAGCATTTTTCTTTGCTTTTTGTTTCATGATTTCACTGTATATTCAGTAAACATATAAATATTTGAAATATAAATAAGAATCTTATTCTTATAGAAGAATAGAAATTAGAATCTTATTATCAGAAGATCTTTAATTATAATAGTTATTAAAATGATTAATTTCAGATATAAATAAAATTATACACTTAAGTACCTGTCGTAATCATCAATGCCAATAAGTCTAGGATTTTTTTCTTCATCTAATTGATTCAAGATCCTCAATTGTTCTTCTGCCGATGTTTTATTTATTTTTCGTGACATGAAATGTGCATACAGTTCTGTTTGAGTAATAAGAAAATTTAATTTTCTTTGTTGACGCTTTGCCTAAAACAAAAAGAAAACATGAGAAAAACATGAGAAAAACATAAGAAAAAGTATATCTCGATATAATCTAATATTTCCTTACTTCAATAAGTTCTACATCCATTTTACGTTGTTCTTCAGCTTCCTTTTCTAATCTTTTCCTCGTTTCCCGTTCTACTCGATCATAACGTTTCCAATAAGATTGCATTTCTCTTGTCAATCGTTTTGCTCTCCAAATAGTTTCTTTCATATTTTTTTGAGACTGAGTCACGTAAGAATAAAGATGAATAATATTTATGATGTGTACGTAAGAATAAAGATGAATAATATTTATGGGATGTACGTAAGAATAAAGATGAATAATGTTTATGATGTATTGAAACTAAATGCATGAGAAATTTAGATGTCAACTTAATGTCTATTCAACTACCCACCTGCATGGCTTTTTGCCTCCAATATTTCATACAATGCTGTGCTACTTTTTTACAACTTATTAGCATTTCCTTATGATTATTGGTTTTAGCCCTTTGTACTTTTCCTAATTCTTTCTTAGACATCATGACCCATATCTTTCTTCTTCTCATTGTCATTACTTCTACACTTTTAGTATTATGTTTTTTTCTTCCTCTTCCACGAGGTTGATGGCGCATTATAGCTTCTAATTCAGATTCATCTAATTCTTCTTCCTTAGGAATTGATTTACCCCATTCTCCTTCTGGATAATTTCCTTTCTAAAAGCACAGAATTTTTATTTAAAAAAAAAGTAAATATAAAAAAAGTAAGAAAGAATATAAAATTTAACACATACACGATATTCTTCAGATGCACAATGACGATTGATTTTTTCTTTCTTGATTCTCATGATTTTCTTTTCTGGCTTTTTCTCTTTTTTCTTTTTATTCCCTACAATCAACTTTTGATGTTCTAAAAATCTATCATAATTCGATAATAATCCTGCACTATAATATTGATATTGTATATTCTGAAAATGATAATGTTTCATTTTATAATAATATCTAATTACATTTATATTTATTTGAATTACTATAATAATGATATTTATTATCTTTACTTCTGGTTTCTGGTAAAAACGTCCTTGATATTTTTTTCGTAGTATGTGGAATTTTAACATTTCTTGAAAGTCATCCTCTGTAATTTGGCTATCTGTATCAGAACCTGATGCGGAACTATCAGAAGAATCGCTTAACAGAATATCTTGTAACCAACGCCGTTCTTCTCCCACACTAGACATGTTGTATAATCTCATCTTATTGATTCTTGCTTCTGTAAAAACATTATTATATGAGATATATGATATATATTTTTGATAAAGAATTAAAATTAATAATATACTATCTATAATTACCTTCTTTCTGAGTGAGTACATTATCTAGATAAGCATCTGAACCATCAGAAGATTCTGATGAAACAGACTTGTCATCTTCACTGAAAAAATAGAGAGAAAAAAAAACATGTTATACATATTATTTTGTACAACAATAATTTATGATACGTTAATTTATCACATATAAGTTAGAGAGCTATTTAGATTGTAGATATTATTACCTAACTTGTTCTTGAAAGAGATCACTAATTTGTTTTAAGAAAGGCTGCATATTGAGGCTGCGTTCTAATCTTTGCAGATGCAAAGGAGCAGCCATTTCAGCTTCCAGCTTCATTGTGTATGCTGTATCTGTCATTACCCGTTTGCGCAAAACCTAACAATTATCTGTAACAGAGATATGCAATGAATATAATATAATTGAAAGATTCTTAAATTAAAAAAAAAGTCCATTTTATGTATCATTTAATATGTACAATCCATCGATACTAATCGATATAAGTGCAGCATGCAAAGACAAATTTGTTGGCAACGCTTGACCTAAGTAATAATATATATACACTAAAGTATTAAATATATATAGTAACAAATGACAAAGTGAGTAAGCTAGCAAAGTAATATAAAAGAAAAATCACTGAACAGTTCAATATTATAAACTATAATGCAAATAAATTGAAGAATGCATATTATACAAGGAGCATAATCGCGCGATTTGCTGGGGAAAATAAAAATATGTGCATGTTTTTTCTCGTTTTTCAATAGCAAACCACAGAGGAACTCTTCCCACTGAGGGCTACTATTGTACTCGGAGATTTTTCGTGGAAACGGCCGATGCACATTACGGGCGTGGAGCTCGTCATGCGAGATCGTGCACGGCTAATTTCATTATATAAGAAGAATGACACGTCGTATCATGCTTCGGTGTGGTTATAATTCAGCTAAATTATTTTCGCTAACAGTATTGTCTTCACCTTGTGTTTTGGTTATATACGCGCGGCCCCGCGCTTATTTCGCACGCGAAACAGAGTCTGCTACTGGTGTGCGATTTCCTCTGTTCACAGCGAAATTAGATATATCAGTCGGAGGGGAATACATGGTAGAAGGAAGCCTAGAGAACGCAGACATTTGGCGTGCTATTAAAGCAGGGCAGGGATAGGGCATTATGTTCGCTACCATTTTTGTTTTCAGTAGGTGGCGCTGGGCGCGCTTAAACGCTCAGCCTTCGACCATCTCCGTTTCTGGACTTTTCAATATACATCTACGATATAATTTCGAATTGCACAGTGTGTATATGCATCGCCAAACATCTCTCTTTCTCTCTCTCTTCCTTTCTCATTTTCTCAATCCATTTTCCAGTATATGCTCCGCGGAATTTCTCTTCAATATCTCAAGCAAGTCATTTTTAATATTTTCATTTGAAATTTGCTAAAAATATGCAATTTTACTAAAAATCTTACTAAAATATGAAAAAAAAACTTTGGAGAGGAAATTGCAATCAATAATCTCGAGATGAGTTTGAAGAATTTTACTCGATGTTTATTCTACTGATAACCAAGTAAATTTAGCTTAAGCGTATTAATGTAATACAGAATACACATATGGAAGTATAATGATTTATATAACACTCACTCTTGGTAAAGATCCATAATTCTCCAGGTTTGACGCTTCAGTACACGAAATAATTGAATAAAAATGTCGATTTCGTAACTAATTTTCTCGCTTCGATCAAGTCGCTACGATTCCAGACAAGTCTAAAATTCAAATGGCGCTACTACGGGATCGTATTTCCGCTCATGCGCACTGCGCGCGTCTAGCCTCAAACCCACACCGGAAGTATCAGCAATTAACCCCCTCCCCCCATGATGCTATCTACTTTATTGATAAACTCTATTCAATAGTTTCGTTGATATTACGGAAAAGACTCGTCAGAAGATTGTCAATTTTATCGAATCGAATTATCGCGACGCGAAATAATTGAATTTCGCGTAACGCACGTTCACGAGTTCCCTTAGGGGAAGGATAAGAAGAGAGGCGAGGGGAAAGGATGACGTTCGGCGCTATTTAATCGGAAATTACATTATTTTGACATATATATTTTTCTTCTCCCTTATCTACATATATATCGTTTCATAAAAAATATTTTCCCGTACGTGTAAAATACTTACGAAATCAATCTTTCCTCCTTTCTTCCTCTTCCGCGCCTTTCTCTCGTCCTTCCTTTTCCGCGCCATCTCGCCACTGGTGGGGGAAGGAGGAATGGAGAGGGGGGAGGCGTCTGGCGTCGAGGCGTTTCTGCGCGCCATCGGGTAGACCCCGGTTTGTTTCGTCATCGTTTCGAGCGTCCCTTCCCGCTCAGTACTTCCTCCAGCTTCACTGGTTTTGTGTCGTGCGGAGGAGTCGCACGTCAATAAACGCTCGAGGTTATCGCAAGCTAAACGTCCAGGTGAGCACGGCCAAGAGCCTTCCTCGTTCTACTCTTTAATCGTCGCATCGACAAAATTGCGAGCCCCGATGTAAGAATCCGTCGTAACCGATGTATCGGGCCGATCGCGTTCCCTCCCAAGGTTTCGTTTCCATTTAGCAACAACACGAGGCCGCGGGCTCCCGACGTTAATGGCGTGATACGATAGATTTTTTTTTTTCCTTTTTTTTCCATTGGTGAAAAGAAGGAAGGAGAGGTGCGATTCTCCGGCGAAATTGGGACACCGCGCGTTTGTTTACGCTTATCGGGCGACGCGTCGAAAACGCAAATCATCGTCGTTCCCCGCGGCCATTATTCGGAATTTCCTCGCGACGCAGTTAATTCGACGTGCCTTCCGTATCGATCCCCGATCCGGCGTCCATGGCAGCGTAAAATTGGCCGAGGGATTCTAGAAATTTCGAGACGACCTCGTCGCAGCGCATTGCGTGATGAAAAAAAAAGTAATTATTTTTCTCCCTCGTTAAATCGTCGCGCATCTGGGAGACGTAGGGGGGGGACTTTCGTGCGTCTCACCAGTTCGTTTCGTGGGCGGCGAGGAGGAAAAAACCACCGATTCGATACCGCGCGTTTCAAAACACGTGCGCCACGTGTCGGCGCGTATCTCTCGACGGAGTAGCCCAGCTTCCGTTAGCCTGAGCATTTCGTGCAGCAGATGTCGTAAGCCCTTACATCGCGAGGTACTCGAAAAAAAAAAAAAGATTAATGATACTTTTATACGCGTCGATAAGAGGATACGTACGGTATTTTTATTGAAGTAACATATGCAGTGTACTCTCCTTAAGTTTCTTTTCACTATACTTGTGTACTCAACAAAAGGTTAAGCATACAAACGCCGTTTTATTACGTTGCATTATTTGCGAACGATTAAATTTATTTAAATCGTTTTTTGATTCAAGATGAAAAGAAAGATAAAAATAACGATTCTTTTATGTTGATTAAACAGCAGGTTCTCCAGGTAACCTGTTATGTAAGGTGTTTTTATATTTTCCTTTAAGAATGAGCACTCGAGTATTCGTTGGCGGATTAACGTACCGGGTGAGAGAGCGCGACCTTGAGAAGTTCTTCCGGAAATATGGTAGAATCAAGGAGGTCGCTATGAAGAACGGATTTGCCTTTGTGGTAAGTCTAATGTGGTTCAATTGTTTCTTTTACAGTATGGTAGGGACAAGGGTCTATGTCGGTGGGCTTCCATACGGCACCAGGGAAAGAGACCTTGAGAGATTTTTCAGAGGCTACGGTCGATTCCGTGATGTCCTCATCAAGAATGGTTATGGCTTTGTTGTAAGTACTTGTATACAGTTGTAAATATCAAGAATAACATTTTGCATTACTCAATTTGGTCCCATCATAACATTCATTTAATTTCTCTCGTTTAACACTGTGACTTCAGATTCCAACACACTTTTATGACTGTTATCGCTTTAAAGTTCTAAATGCTGAAATGTATCGTAATACTTTAGAATTTTACGGTGTTGCACTATCATTTATCATTTTAAATGTTATAAATCTTTTGAAATATTTCTCTTCTTGTGTTTATGAGGAAAACTATTTATATTTGATGTTACAATTCTTTGATATAGCTATGCACTGTATTAAGAAAAATGTTCTTCTTAAAAGATAGTTTACTTCATTATTTGCTATCATGATTCGGGCCAAAATGGGTAAGCTGCAATTTGTTAAACTACAATTATAAACTCGATAACCTGAGTTGACCTGACCTGAGCCCTGAGCACATTGGTGACTGCTTAGGAGAGCTGTGTGCTGCTTATCATCGGTTATTCTGCGAAAATTTTGTAAGTTATATACAATTCGGGAGAGAGGAAAATACTTACAATGGGCCATATATATTACATAAATAATTATCTACATCTACAATTTAAAATTTCACCAGCACTTTAATTAATTCAGAACTTTTTGCACTTTGTAGTATAATTTACATTTAATATACAATTTTTTTTATTTATTTGTTAAATTAAATCACGTATGTATTCTATTTTAAATGCGAGACATGATCAATAGAATCATTTATAAATAATTTTAAAGTATTACTCACATAACTATGTTAAAATGTATATTATTGTTATCGTATTAATATTGTATTACATTTATACTTTGTGAATAATGCAGTGATATATTTTTAATTCAAAATTAAACATTTTTTTAATTAATAAGTGTTATAATTTTCTAAAAATGTTATCAGTTACATATATATTTTGGAGTAAACTCGTCGTGCGCATGTAAAAAATATATCTTATAACCAAATTATATTCTATTTTTCAAGATAATAATATAAAAAATTCTATTTTCTCAGGAATTCGATGACTATAGAGATGCCGACGACGCCGTATATGAACTAAATGGAAAGGAACTTTTAGGAGAAAGGTAATGCAAATCTGTTTTATTCAGTGTATGAAACATATATGTACATTAGGCGATTATATTAGGCGGAATGGTATAGGTAGCATGTTTGCATGATTGATTAGTTTCTATTGCAATCCATTTAATATGTGGATTGTTATTTTGATTACATTAATGTTTGATACTTTATCATAATCATAATATTATTGGTACTGCGGGCTCTCTGTTTATAATTTAAGCAAGATGACATTTAATTCACTATATTAACACTGAGGAATTGGTAAATTTTTTCATTCATTCGGAATCGACTAATATCATATGTATAATATTATAGATACAACTCCTTCCTATCGATTTTTGTATGTACATATCATATAAATAATACATTGGCTCTATTAATTATAGTATTTTACATTTCGTCATTTCTATAAGAGGTAAAAAAATCAGATTATACATAGTGATTTATTACATGTTATTAATGAAAATTATTGAAGAATAATAATCGTTATAATATATAACATTTTAATATTTTATTAATTTGTAACAATTTACATTCAATGCGCTTTGATACGATATGTGTAAAGTTGAGTCATGAACAACATTTTCAAATAACAATGATATTTATTTATTTATTTATTTATTTTATATTTTAAACGACTTACTCTTACTAACGATTTTTTTTTAGTTAGGGATTTACGTTTTTTAAGGTTAAGAATAGTGAAACTGAGTCATTTAAACAAAATAAGTTTTCTATATGTATATACGATATCTTATCTTAAATAAAGTTTGTTATCATATACTCTTGCTGGGTTATTGGAGATTAGATTAATACATGAGAAGCAATAGCATTCAATTAACAAAATTATAAGTCTTATTCTATATATAAATTTCTCTAAAAATAATTTTCGTTTAGGAAATAATAAAAATTTCCATTTTTATGGTGTATGCTTATCTCTTTCTATCTGTTTTCCTATTGGGAATTTATGTAAGTGTGTCAGTAATGTTAGTCGCTTCTCTACATAAAATAAATAATCGTAGCTTTTTTAACATATAATATTAAAAATTTGACAAAGTGCGGTTGAACGGAATTATTCTTAACACTAATCGCATTATGTTTCAACCTGTACCAGTAATATTATTCGCTGTTGCTTCTTTTTGATTAAAGACAAATGTACAATGCACAATTATTTGTTCGCATTAAACGGGTATTTCATTAATGCCTTTTGATTTTGCGTCTTTAGTAAAAGCGGCGTCTGTCCTCCAAATTAACGATTGGATCTTTATCGAGATAAAGAAAAAGTGCGTCTTAAAAGACCGTTGTGACTTACCGCCATTTTGAACTACTTCCATCAATTCCCCGAGTAGCAAATGATTATCAAAGTAATTATTATAATCTACGTCTGGAGAAATGTTATATTGCTTCTTTTTTTACGAAAGAAGGCATTCGGCACATGTACTTTTTCATAATTTCATCGTGTGATCCTGTATAAAATGCAGTTCTTCATGCTCTAGTTAGAGAAAAGAAAAGAAGGAAAAAATTATACGGATCATGGATTTGATTATGAAAAAGTTGATGGATGTGGTGAAAGAAAATTAATTTGGTGATAAGTAGTGTTGTTGTAAGGAAGGCAGTTTAGATTAGGGAACGAGGAGTCTTGAAAAAGAGAGAGGAAAGGAAAGAGAGATAGGGGGAGAGAAAGAGAGAGAGCGAGAGAGAGGGGGATAGCGCTTCAGACGAAACTGGACGATATAGAAATACTGAGAGGGACGGATGATATTTGAACGGATTTCGGGAGAAAGGAGGCTGAGGAATGGAAAGAAAAGGAAGGAAGGAACGAAGCAGCTTTAGAGAGTAAGAATTAGTCGTGGACTTAGGCGGGGTTTTGTTGGGTGTGTTTCAGAGTGGCGGTGGAGATAGCACGGGGTGTTTCAGGGAGGCGAGGCGACCGTGGCTACGGACGCTCACGCTCCTGGAGAGACAAGTAAGCATATCCAATGTGTCTTGTTACAGAATTACTGTAGAGAGGGCCCGGGGGACACCTAGGGGTAGTGACCAGTGGCGCTATGGTGACTCCCGTGGTGGTTATGGGGACTCGAGGCGATCTGCGTAAGACACGCTATCCTTTTTTTTATTTTATCAGAGCGATCATTATCCCCTCCCCTGCAGGCAAACCGGCTCAGGATGTGCGAAATCTAAACGATTGATCGATTTATCTACCGATTTCATTCTAAATGTCTTTCTTTTATATATGAATTTTTTATCTTTTTTTCTCATATATCGCTATGCCTGTCGGTAAGTTTTTTCTATTTTTTTTCTTTCGCGTGATTGATTTCGCACATCGTCCGCACAGGGAAGAACGTAACCTTGGATATTGATAAGCTCTAACGTAGAGAGAGAGCATTAAGACGAGCGATGAATCGTGTTTGCAAGCTTCTCTTGCATTTGCGCATTACGAAAAATATAAAAGTCCGATTAAAAGTCTTCTCTTCTGAATTGGTTGTCTTGGATTTGACTGCTCTCTCGAGTATGTCGAATTGTCGAAAGTTTCGCCGCGATAAAGTTAAAAAAACGATAGTGAAAAGAGAAAAATAACGCCTAGCGATTAACCCTCCCAAAAACATTATGTTTATTGCTGGTAGTTCGAGATGAATCGATTGAAAATTGGTGACTAATAGATGTGTGGTATTGTGTTTGTTACAGCCGAGACGATATGCGGCACGACAGGTACGCTATTGCTGCATTTTGAATAGATTTGATTCGATTGGAACAGGTGATTGATTGTGTGCCTGAGCAATGAGTGCAGATCTGTAGTTATTTGCTGAAGGTTTAACCGACGATCCGTTATTTCTGTTCACATGACATCCCTTTTTGCAGAGATAGTGTGAACAGAAACACGAGGACTGCATCTAGCTACAAGCAATCATTGCCCAGGTACATACATCCAATGTTACGCTCTAACGATTACAATTTAACTTATACAAACTTTAACTGTTGCAAATGTCTTGTAAAGTATATCATTTCTTTTTTGCGTTTTATATACCATATTTTCATTCGCTAATGCATTAACGTAAAGTCAGGTCCAAGACAAACCTGCTTGTTCTCGAGATATACATGTAGATAATGGCCGATCTTTTTCCCATTGTAGATACGGACCACCAACACGCACCGAGTATCGTCTCACCGTGGAGAATCTATCAAGTCGTGTCAGTTGGCAGGTAAGCGGCCAATATTTGTACTTTTGGTGCATTTTTTTTTATCTCATTTATATGTTACTTTACTACTCGCGATTTCAGTGAAGACATTGCACCGCTTTATATGCGTTTTTCGTATCTATATATCGCTGAGAATTTCTAAGTTTTACCGAGTTTTTCTACCGGTTGTTTATACCAAATTCCACGCGTATATTTACAGCATTTCTTTATTCAATTCTCTTTCGTCTCACATTTTACGTTCATTTACTCATTTGAAAAAGAGAGCCCTATTTTGGAATTGAAAGATGTAAGATTTTGATCAAGTAAGTCTGTGGCAAAAGTCGAGATTTTCATAAAATGCATGTGCAAAAATCGTTTTCTACGAAAACGAAAAAATAAAGATGAAACACAAGAGAAAAAGAAAATGAGAATGAAAATTCGCTATAAAAATGATAAAGATATTAAAATTCACATAAATAACACAATATAAGATGCGAGAAATGCATGGAACATCATCCATATCCGATACAAAGGACGCAGGCATGTGCAGAGGAACTCGGAGACTAACAACGGCCCGTGATGATGATCAAACCATCGCAACCGGATAGTCTTGGACGTTCAGTGGACACTATGGACGAAGAGCTGTAAAACGGAAGAAATGGAAGCGATGAACGATGTACGAAGCATAATAGATGGAGACGCAGGACAAGCGCAAACGATATGTGGGAAATACCAGGACGCAAATAGATGCCTCAAAAAGGGTCGTATTGATGAATCGAAATAATAAAGACAGATTACTTTTTATGTGCACGTGGACCAAGTCTTACTTGATCAATTTACATTGCGTACATTTGTATATATACACATTATAATGCAGTCTATAAATATATTTATCTCGTTGCACTTTTTCGATGATTGGTTATATTTGACGCAAAGATATTCTCTCACTCAGTCGAGTCTCGATTGTCCGACGTTACTTTTTCAATTTATTATTTCATTTACGTTACGGCCAGCAGTTTTTGAGGAAAAACAAAATAAAATTGATGTTCTTTCCGAAGAGCCATATCCTCTTCGCCGAGGACGGGCGACCGGTAGGGCCAATAGACTGATGATGTACGATGATGATAAAGATGACGATGCGCACGATGGGCCCGCCTTAAGGTCAAGTGGCACCTGTGGTTGGTTTCTGAGGTGTCCCGGGTGACAGAGAGATCCGCGTGGCACGGGGGTGTACACCTATATCTACCACCTATCTACCATCATGCTCTACTACTTGCGTGCCGTGATACGTGGTGAATCCCGGTGAAATCCCAGTGACAATAGAGTTATCGTGCGTACTCCGATCCTTCTCCATCGTGATCACTGGGGAAAAGAAGGGAGAGGGAAACACAAGACCCAACCGCTGCTATCTACCTTACTCTGTCTGGAAGAGACAAATGTTTATTTACGTAAAAAAAAATCCACCAAAATGTATATCACCACTCTTCCTCTTACTAGACCGCGATACACGGTCGTATAATTCAGTACCTTCATCGACATCACCATTACATCCACCAACCATCACATCATTCCACCGTGACTGTCACTGCCACTGGTGTACGCCACGCAACCTAGTAAGTCAGGCAGCGGCCACAGCCATGAGGGCGAACGCGGGTCGAAACCCGAACCATCCGCGACTACGCCACACAGATCCGTTCGACCCGACCGAGCGCCGTGTGTGTCTGGCCTTTCTCTCTGTCCGTAAGCAAGGTGGTGCCTGGGCCCAAGGTAAATGCGTCACCTTACCGAGTGTACTCTCTTAGATATACACATATATATCTATTATATCTTACATACACTTAAACGTGTCTTGTTCCACATATGTATATCATTATTATTATTATTATTATTACTATTATTATTATTATTATCATTATTATTATTATATAATACCTATACCTATATCTCTCTCATTTGATACTGTGCACCATAGCTCAGGCATCCAACCATTGAGACGTTTCACGAAGCTCGGAGCTGTGCACTTAAATCCAGTATCGACGATAGGGAAACCTTAGCAATATATTTCTGTGCTCGAAATTAGGCATCCGCTTGTCTGTAGATTTCGTGTTTTATATCGGTTTCTTCTCTTTTTTAATTCTGAAGCTTTTTATCGTTGTTTATATTTTCGAATTTACCATTCGAAAGATCAACTTTTCTTTGTACAAGGCAATTATATCATTACCATATCTTTTGAATGTAGCAAATGAGAAACGATATATTTCAGAGGAAGTTTTCCACATATGTTTTATTTTTTCCTTCTTCATGGAACAATCACGCTTGGACCTTGAGACACCAACACGAATCTCAAAAAAGTCATCGATGAAGGTATCCCATAAATATGGAGATGTCTACTATGTAAAACGACTGGCGCATCTTATCTACCTATCGCGTACCTTCGCAACACGAAAGCCGTACCTGGTTCCCACAGAAAGAGAGAGAGAGAGAGAGAGATCGAAAGATATTATATAAGCACATCTCCCAGCAATGATTGAAGTCAAACGGGCCCTAAACACTCCACTTTTGCTGATTTATGAAGAATGACTATAACATTAGATTCTAGCATGTACGGAAGAAACAACGGAATGGAATGGAAAGAGAATAATTAATACGGAAAAAATCATCTTGGAATATTAAAAAAAGGACATGTGTGAGAGAGACAAACGAGACACACGGATTATCGATGGACTTTCTTCAGGACTTAATTTCTAGCAAAATGTTTACAGAACTTTCATTTTGTTGCATCAATTCGATCTTTACATTTTCGAAAACTTTTTTCTTAATACTATTCTATTGCGATATAAAATATATTCTGATAATTTTCAGAATTTAGAAAATTTTGCTAAATAATTATATATACACATAATTATATAACATAATCTTTGCATTTGCTTGATAGTAATTCAATTGTGTACAGAAATATATATTCCTAAGAAATCATTACTCGAAATAATATATTGAATATTTGGATATTAATTACATATAAATCGTTATTTTTTTTTTACATAGATTACAAAAATATACTAAAGAAATATCGCATTTATTACTTTGTAATTATATATTGTGAGCCATTTTGCGGAAAGAAATAAGAATATATTAATTTAAAAATATTAATTGATATTTTTATATTGCATACTTTTGATTTCATTAAAATGTTATTCCACAAAACGGAGCTGTATATATGTCATTCCGCAAAACGGAGCTGTATATATGGAATATTATAATTATATTTATTTCAAAAATTGAACTGTAAAAAGAAGAGTTGTATCAATAGCAGATACTAAATTCGAGCACACAATAGTCGTAACATTATTCTCAACACTGAAGACGCGAGCAGATGTAGAACACTATGCTTGTTTCTATTCTTAAATCGAGTAGATCCAGGTTACTTCTGCCACAGGAAAAGAAATCAAAATAGAATATAACATATGAGTGCACAGGATATATTTTAACCTGCCTGCGTGATACATCAAACTAGGAACACAGTATAGTAAATTCCATACGCAACTACTAATTTTAAATCTATCCGCATATCTGTACAAATTTACATTCAAAGTATTAATTCTGATTCTTGTGTGATGTTCAGGATTTAAAGGATTACATGAGACAAGCTGGAGAAGTGACATATGCTGATGCTCATAAACAACGTAGGAACGAGGGGTGAGTAAAGTATTAATTGTAATTTTAATTTTAATAATAAAAGTTTTTTTATGTAAAGAATGCAAAAACAAAAAAATTGTTAATTATTGCATTATTATTTATAATGCAAAAAAGCAATTAAATACATTCTAATAATCTGTTACAATATATCTATATTTATTTATTATAATATATCTGTGTATATATATTTGTCTTGTATTATCATTATTATTTTAATTTAATAAATGAAATATACAATGTTTTGCAGAGTTGTAGAATTCGCTACGTATTCCGACTTGAAGAATGCTATTGACAAATTGGATGACACAGAATTAAATGGCCGCCGAATTAGACTCATCGAAGATAAACGACGTGGCCGCCGTTCAAGATCGTCTAGTTCAAGATCACGTTCGCGATCTCGTTCCCGATCCCGTCGTCGGTCGCGCTCCCGCTCAAGGTATAATCGTCGTTCTCGATCCCGATCAAGGTACTGTCGGGGCGACATCACGTCACCTATTATTTTTTTTTCTACTGTTTTTTTTTGTCTTTTTATAGATATTTTAATTTTAAATTTGTAATTTTTTTCGTCTTACAATTTACAGTTATACAAAGTGATTAATATATTTTCATTTTATTTGATTGCATTTAGTTTTAGTGTTAAAAATTGATGAATTTATTGCAATTCAATTTTTTTTCGTGTTAAAAATTGATGAATTTATTGCAATTCAATTTTTTTTTAATTGTTTTATTTGATCATATAATAAAATATATTTTGTTTTGTTATCGGAACATTTATCGTATAATGAGATAGTTTTGCGCACGACAATATTAGACAATAGTTTAAAGTACTAAGTATCTCATCGTGATTTCTTCTAATCTAGGAGCCGTCGCAGTTCTCGTAGCCATAGCCGTCGTAGCAGCCGGTCCAAATCTAGAGCACACTCTAAATCCAAGTCCAAGTCTAAATCCAAATCCCCTGAGCACAGTCGCTCACGCTCAAAGTCCAAGTGAGTATCTCGTCTCCAAAAAAAATATATATATATATATATATTTATATATATTTTTTAACATTATTTTATTTATTTCATTATTCAGCCGTTTGCTCCTCTGTATACTCAAAATTACGTATATTTATTTTACTTGTTTTATTTTTTTTCTTGCGCAGTTAATATAATCGATGTACACACTCTCATTCCCATCTGTTATTGGCATTGTTTTTGGGCTGGCTACGTGCCTTGAGCTCTCACGCTTAATCACGCTTTATACGCGTTCACTTATTCACCGTGTACGCTGGAAAACAGCAGAAAGTAACGATATTTTGTCACTTTCTCTACTTTTTCGTCCCTCTTTCATTTTGAACTATAATTTTGCAGATCAAGAGACCGCTCAAAGTCGAAATCTAAGTCAAAGTCCAAATCCAGATCTCGTTCTAGGTCCAAGGCTGAGAGGTCAAAGTCCAGGTCGCAGTCCAAATCCAAAGCCAAGTCTCCCTCAAAGTGAGTCCTCTCGCTTAATCGATATATTGTACTTGGCGCAAGAAAAGTCAACTTTCCCGAGCGACGGCGCGAATAAATCCCCATGTTTCTCCTTTTGTTATTTTAGGGATAGATCGAGCCGCGAGCGTTCCAGAGGCGACAGATCCAGATCGCGATCGGGCAGTAAACACAGCAAGAGCCGTAGCCGTTCTCGTTCGCCCATGAACGGTGATAAGTCACCGGAAAGCAAGAAAGCCGATTAAACGATATATTTTCAATTAAACTATCCTTTTCTTCTTTCTTTTTTTGTATATTGAATCACATTCGAAAAAATCGCCAATATCCTATATTTTACAATTTTCGATTTATTAATTATTAATTGTAACAATAAAGTTTCACGTAAATCTGTACACATTGTATCAAGATTCTATCACCATTTTGATATTTAAGATTCAACACAATCGGCTTAACAATCCACATTATTATTGTTGATTCAAGACAACTTTTTATTTCATCTTTTTTAGCTAGCTATGATATATATGCTTAGCAGTATCTTGTTTTTTTTTTTTTTTTTTTTTTTTTTTCATTCTATTTTGCCTTTTTATTATTTTTTGTTAGAGATTACTTTAGATTTAGGGATACACATCATCTGACTTGAACAATTCGTGCATTTAGACAGATAAGAATCCTTTATTTGTACCTCTGATTCTACATATTTTCATGTTTTACATATACCCACATGTATCAGTACGAGTTTTCTTATAATAATGGCTTTTTTGTATATATTACTAAAAGTTACATTACAATATAAGAAGGTATGTGATGTGTATTAAATTTAGTAATAAGAAGCATCTTGATTGTGAATAAAAATACTTGTCAATGCAAATTGATACTTCAAGCCCAAACTACTATTCCGTTCCTGTTCATTTATTTCGTACACTTTTAAAAAGTACTTTTGGGAAATCTTGAAATTTTAAAATATATTTCTAATATTGTGTGTGACTTATATATACAAAAAATAATTATTTTACATTTGATTATTAGCAAATTAAGCTATTATTTATTCATTTACTTGTACTAAATAATTGTTTACGTAATTATACATTGTGTATATAATTAACTCTGTTACATATACAGAGAAGAAAATGATAAATTCGAATTGACTTAATTTGCTGCGAGCTATCATATAGTAAATTATGAGTAGTTTTTTTTTGCATCATAGATCGATCTATGATGTAAACGGTAAGAATAAATAAAATTAAGAAAGCTGATCAATGTTGTGTGCTCACATATTAAACTTATAATTTTGACGAGTTGTAAATTTGGAATCTAATCTTAAGCTAATCGTTCTATTTAATTTCTTTTAAGATTAATCTAAAGATTGTTGCATTTTGTCTGAAGAGAATATTTGTAAGAAAAATTCGACGAAACCCGTTTCTATTTTCGGTTAAAATTCAATTTTGTCGAGTTCACGGAACCTCGTGCAGTCGAGCGAACATATGACACGCAGCTGGACCTGCATAGGACCCGGATGACTCAACGGCGTGCGTCAACCCCCGATATTCTTGTACACCATTCTTCCCCCTCTCGACATCGCGTTGGGAATAGATTGCCTCCGCGAGGCGAACTGTCCCCCAGCTGGGAAACAAGAGGGAGAGACGATAGAATGACGCAAAAAGATCGTCGCCAAGAAAAAGTCACGTCGTCGTTCAATGTCAAATTTGCCGACGTGCCGGCTATGCGTGAATTCCCAGTCGTCGTCGAGGGTGAGTCAGCCATCCCTCCGAATGAGGGGTCAGGGAGATGATCGGATGCGAAGGAAGAGGGAACGCGATTAATCGACAAGATTGGGGAAGTAGAAGCCAGACGTTGATTGGTTCTCGTACGAGAGCGGTGGAAATCCAGTCCAGGAACGTCGTACATAGCATCATATTCATGATTCTGCTAAATGTATGTGCTGCTATGCATAATTAATATTAAGATAAATATTAAGTTTGTTAAATATCCGGCTGAATATTCTACTTGTGACATACCACATTCTTTTATTACATATATTCGATTAAGAGATTAATTTTATTATATTTTTTTTAATTCGTTTGGTATTTCATTTTTATTTTATATTAAAATATATGAAAAAAAATTGAAAAAATTTTCCCTTGCAGCATTACTACATTATTACGATTAACTGCATTATTACTAATCATCCAACCGTTTCAGCGTATCCTGATGAGAAACGAGACGCAGATGCATCCCGAAGAGCCCCTCATTGCGCCGATCCTGACAAAGGGGGCCTGTCATCCTGAGAGGGGACGCGCTGCGGATGGAGAGGGATGAACGACGGGCGCTGCTCGACGCTGCTACCTGGTGTTACGTGCCGCAGAAGCACTAACTGGTCAGTCAGTGTACCGTCTCGTTCCTGCCCTTGAACAACTTCCTCGACTGCTACTAGACAGTGTTCCGCGCCTGCTTGCCTGCCTGCGCACCAGAAACTCGCTCGCGTCAACTGACAGGTCAGTGCACCCCTCTCGGCAGCTATCGCCGCGTTACGTTGCCGTTTCCCCACGGCAACAATACATTCAATGGCGGAATAACAGCGAGCCGGCTAAAGATTCATGTAAATATTTAAAAAAATGTTTTAAAAGACGTCCTTCAAAGATGTTTCCCGGACTCCTCGTCCAGCGTTTCTTCGGGAAACGTTACTCGCTCAGTTTTCTCAAAAGACGCAACGGAAAGCTCTTTTTTGCTTTCCATTCTGTCATTTACATGTTAATTCGCGAGATCGAGAAAAGAAGTTAGGATTGACATCAGGGCCGTTGAGCGTCTACGGGACATGTTGCCTACACGACTCTTTCCTTTACGAAACATCTTTGTTGAGAATAACGAACTAATGAGCGACTTCTCCGGGAACCGGTGGTGGTTGAAATTTCGAATTTACGAATCGAAATGAAACTATTATAAGGCACACACAGAACACGTGTAATTTACATGTAACGTATATCCTTCACAATAGAAGGATTACTCCAGAAATCGTAATTATCGCCGATTCCGGGTCATAAACACCGAACCGAATTAAATCATATATTTATTCGCGACGATGTCAAGTTCTATTTGGTATATTTGTGGTATAAAAAATTGAACTCAATCAATAGATAGATCTCTCGTTTAAAATAAAATAATGATGGAAAAGCAACATAATAAAATGGATTTTAATCGCGCGAATAATTGCATACTAAAAAAATTATCCGGCCATACCAAAAAAATTATCCGGCCGGGCCCGCATCCCAAGATATCGATTGGTCTTTCGACGCGATCGAAAATGAACCCAGGGGTGTGGTCGAAAGGCGTCTCTCTTTCTCCCTCTCTCCCTCTCTCTCTCTTTCACACAGGACGGAAACACGACGTGCACTTGATTTCTCATCTCGATAATCGCGCGGTCGTGTCGCGAACTAATGATATTCTTCGCAGAATATGACGAAGAATTGGAAGAAACGGGAATGAATTATTCAACATAGCTCATTGACATGGTCATCTTATTACCATGAGTGATATTTTCATTATCGTGTGTTTTCAAAAAGTGAAATGTAAAACAAGAAAACTTTTACTAATGTACCAAGCAAATTGAAATTCTTATCGCGCTCACACCGATAAGAACTTTAATGACGCGGTTATTATTGATACTTTATATATGTCGTATCGAATCGCATTGCAATTATGCATATGTATGAGAATCGAGATGATTAATAAACGTGAATCGATATGATCGAATTAATTAGCAGATTCTGTTCGCGCAAATTTGTAGCACTTTCGATCAGAGTGATTTGCGACGATCGAGATAAGATACACGTTCATCCAAATGTCAAATGTAAAATAAATTTGATATTTACTTCATTAAAAAAAAAAAATATCTGTTGATTGTTTTTCATATAAATTTGCTTCGTGCTCAATTAATTAATCTCACTCTTTTCTTTTTTATTGCTATTTTTTGCTTACCGTATTTTATATTCCTCTATTTTCCAAGAAATTCTCAAAATACAATAGTTCAGTTTCGAACACACTCGATTAGCTCTAAATTGATAATAATAATTAAGTTTAATCGATTGGAACGAGACATATCATTTCGGTCGTGAAATAGTTGTCAGGGAATCTCCTCGTTCTTCCTTCATGTGCAGTGGGGGACGACAGGATGATGGGGAGAAGGGCGTGGTTTTGACAGATGCATACGGTGTGCGCGGAATACGCATATATGTCTCTTTCCCTTGTCGTCGATCATTTCTTGCATGTCGCTTACATATCGCCCTACCCGAAAAGTAAATTGGAAATTCATTATAACAATTTTATTTTTTAATCTTACTATTTTACTAACGATGGAATATTAAATATCGTTGTTTTAATAGCGAAGATCACGGTTTTTACCTCAAAATTATCGATACTCGAGATTAAATGTCATGACATTAAAAATGTCAAAATGTGAAAGATGCACAAAAAAGCAAGGTGTCGTCAAAGACATTAGCGTTCATGATGTTTGATAGCGATTTAGAATATATTCACAATAATCGTGAAAGAAATTATCCTAGTAGAGTAGAACTTGCGATCTTTACTCTTCGACAAAGAGCTTAATAGATAAATAAAAAAGAATCAATGTATATCTTTACATTTCACATTTAGCTTATTTATGATTATATTTGATATTTCATTTCTTTCAATTGCAAAAGAAAATATGGCTGGAAATTGCGCGGCTCTCGCAATCGTCGGCTCCAATCACGACTTGATTTTCCGCGCGATTTTTCAGGTTTTCCTAAGGGAGGATTGCCGTCGAGCGATTGCATTTGCATTTGCATTTTATCATGTCCCGAGCGGTCGTTTCAAGGCGAACGAGGGGCTTCTGTATAAGCGCAACTCGGCCGCGCGCGCGCTTTCGTGCTCACAAATTGCGTTTTACTCGCGTTTCATCCAGCTCGTTCGCTCGCTCGCGATTAGCGTCTCCCAGATCTCGAGACCATTTCTGATTCCCGCGACAGTGGCGTTATTTAACGAATCGACGCCCAGAGCATTCGCCTGTGAAGACTCTTGCTTTTCTCTCGCTGCAATCATATTGTTTTACTATGAGAAACAAGTTATGCGTCGACATAAATTAATTTGTTTACGCATTAAAAATCAAATCACATATGCAGCGATAATGTAGATTGTAAATTATCTTTTTCAAGGACTTAGGAATAAAGAAATATCATTCTTGACTATTTTTTGTGAAAAAATTATAAAATACACATAGATTGAATTTTATTACATTTGCTAACGTAGAATAATAAAAAAAGAATTTCACTAACTTGCACTATTAATGACATGAGAAAATTTATTTCAGAGTGTCTAGCGCAAGAAAATATTCGTATGTTTTTTTCTTCGTTTTTTATATCATAATTCAATGTGATAATATGATGAATAAACAGGAAACCCTAACATTTTTATAGCCACGTCATCGAGGCCATACCTGCGTTTCCCCGGGGATCACAGAACTTGCATACAGATACAGATGACTATCTCACTTTCGTATTCGCTCGTTATATGCTGATAAAAAGCGAAGAAACCGAACGGAACGTTATTTCCGGTTCTTAATCTTTAAAATTTACATTCGAGTATTAAATGTGTTTCCAACTGAAATAGCAGTCTCCGCGTCTCTTTAGTAAAACAACCCTTTCAAAAACCTGTCCAAACGCAAAGAGATTTCGGATAAAGAGAAAAAGAATAAATATAAGAGTGAATAATATCGATGTGTCACGCGAAATGTCATCTGATCGCGAATCCCGCGTCTCAGACACGACTTTCGTTGCCTTCGTCGTTAAGAAGGGAAGCCGCCCTCTTACCTTACCCATGACCATGAAAAACCGGGATGCGCCGCGCATACAGATATAGCCTCCGCGGATATTTCGCACAAACCTCCCTCTCCCCCTCTCCGCTTTCCTCCGGGCGCGATGCCAGCAATGCCAATCGATGAAACCGTCTGCCGCGGCAGCCGCCGCCGCCTCCACCGGGGTCGGTCGTTCGCTCCCCCGACGCGACGTAACCCCGGGATTGCCCGGCGTCGATGAATCTGTGTGTGTGTGTGTGTGTGTGTGTGTGTGTGCATGCATTTACGCGCGCCCTAGTCATTCATGCATCGCGAATAAAAGCCCGCACGTGTGGGCCGGTATTTAGGTGTGCGCCGTTATGTTAGCAGGAAGAGACTCGCCTTCCGGCGAACAAGATCCGATTAAGCGGCCTTCTCGATTGCATAGACCGATGTAGGCTGAAACGTGTTCATGTGCGATACATGTATATATATATATATACTTATATAGAACTTCCATGAAGTTTAGATTTGTATGAAAGATAGCTTTTTTTTAAATATACTTCATATGTAAGATTTTAATTAACCTTGAATTCGCGCCGGATGAACGTGTTGCGGAAGCTATGCAGTGCGGGTTAAGGAGCTTAACGCAGCATTGCCTCTTGCCAAATCATAATTCTATATATGAGGTAGACGGCGGAAGATCCGTCGACTTAACCGGAAGTTTGCGCTAAGCAACACACTCGGTACACTCGGGGCCAGAAATGTCTCAACACATAAAGTTACTCGAGCATTATGATCGTTAATTAAAAGAAATGTAATAATAAAAGTAATACTTTTAATCGATTAATTAATTCTCATTTCTTATTCTTATTAATTTATTTTTTTATTTTTATCAATTTAATTATTAACTTTATATTAATTATTACTCATTTTTCAAATGCATACTTGATTTCAGACAAACGCTTACGAATACTATTAACTGTCGGAGATGTGCAAGCAATTCTTCAAATCAGGATTATATCTAGACATGATAGATTCATATCTCGAGTGCATCTTGAATGTACTCTCATTAACGTCGACGAAGGGGATTTTTAACTGGATCAAAAGACGTCAAATTAGAATCTCCCAACAAGCTTTAAATTGTCATTGTAGCAAGATTGACTCCAACGATTGTTCCAATTTAATTTTTGATAATTTTTATTTTTTTCGCTCATATATTATAATTCGTTGATCGTTATCCTCGTGACACCGGACACTCGAATATGGAGATTCCAATTCGGACGATACCTACATACGTCCCTGACTGTACACGCCACCGCTCGATACGCGCTCGTCCAGGGTTCGTTAGCCGTCACGGTCGCACGGAAGAGCTGAAGAGAAAGAGAGAGAGAGAGAGAGAGAGAGAGAGAGAAAAGGGGAAGAGAGAGAAAGAGAGTCGCGGTTGCTCGCGTGCGAGCGCGACGGTCACCACAAGCGGCACAAAAAGCATTTCTCCAGCTACAAATACGAATGCAGGCGATGGTTTCACGGGTATTGTATGCGCGTAGGTGTTCACCGTTGCTGGAACCTAGCACCGGTCGATACAGACTATGCACGCTTACGCACGTGTGGACGCGTGGCGAGAAAGAGAGAAAGATGGTAACAGGCCCACCATTAGACGCGATTGCCTAAGTTAATTGGCAGCCG